TATTTATTTTATAATTTCTTCAATATTTTAATTATGTATTTTAATTAAATTTTAATAAAATAGATTCATTTCTTACATTTGTTAATGTAAATTTAATTATATTTTCATTTTTTTTATAAACATAGATTGTATTTCGATAAATCGATACATCGAATTACAAATATCGATTGATGAATGTAATTTTCTTGTTACATATGCCTTCTAAATATTAATAAAATGGAAAATATCAAAAGAGCTTGAGCTCAAAGTTTAAATAAATATTCAGTTACGATAAATACGTTCGATAATTAAATGTACCCTGAATTAATGTGATGTTAACTGTGTGTGATGGCGGATAAAGAGTTAGTAAGCCATCAGCAGCAGTTTGTAGAAGAAATTAATTATGATGAGATTGAAACCGAGCAGGTATCATAATTATATATTACAGTATTTTTTTTGATTATTTGAAGAAATAAGATAAGAATAAGATTTTTCTTTTTAATTATCATTTAATATAATATTTTTACAATATTTATATTTATGACTATATATATAATTTCAGGAATTTATTTTTATTAATTATCTAAATTCGTGAAACCTAACCTAAATAATATTTAATTATTTTTTTTATCTAAATTTTTGATGTTGTGATTTATTTTAATATTTCACATAATAGAAAGTATAATTTAGATAATAATCTTTTAATATCTATTTAAGATATCAATGACTTGAGAAAAAAATAAAATTTCTGTTTTAATAGGTTTTACATATATTTCATTTTTCTTTTAAAATTTAAATTGAATGTAAGATTAATTTAATAAAATTTAAAAAATATTTGCAAAAATTAGTAAAAAATATTATAAATTTAAAAATTTTCTTTTATTATATATTTTATTATTTTATTATTTGTTTTTTATAAAGTTATATATTACATGTATAATAATATAATAATATATATATATATATTTGCCATTAATTTAATATTTCTTATTTGTTATTTTATTTTTAAAAAAAATTATTTAAAAATATAAAAAATACAGATTAATAATATTATTATTATATATTATATTATAATTAATAATAAATCCTATAAAATATACAAAAAATATCAATAATAATTAATCAAATATTATAATTTAAATTAATATGAATAATTATTAAATCAAACTAAAACTAAAACTATTATTTATTCTTAAAGGTAGTGGGAAAAGGTTCTTTTGGAGTAGTATGGAAAGGAAAATGGAAAGGTCAATATGTTGCTATAAAATATATAAATTCAGAAGGTGAAAAAAAAAGCCTTTACTGTAGAAGTTAGGCAATTATCTAGAGTTATACATCCCAATATCGTAAAACTTTACGGTGCATGTACAAAAAATCCAGTTTGTCTAGTTATGGAATATGCAGAAGGTGGCTCTTTATATAATGGTATTAATTTTTTTTAATATCATAAAGTTTTAATTTCCTAATTTCTTAATAAAATATTTTTAGATTATTTATTTTTATTTTAATAATATATAAATGATTTCATTATTTCATAAAATAATAAGATATAAATAATAAAATTATTTTTTATTTTATATTAAATAATAATTATATTTACCTTTATTATAAGTTATAAATAATGATATTATTTATATTTATTCATATGTTACAGTTTTACATTGTAATCCTCAACCACAATATACTGCAGGTCATGCAATGAGTTGGGCTTTGCAATGTGCACGTGGTGTTGCATATCTTCATAATATGAAACCAAAACCTTTAATTCATAGGTAAGGTAAATTAATTTTTCTAAATATATCTTTCTTTTTTATTAAAAATATAATTACAAATATTTCAAGTGATATCTATAACATTAAAGAAATTTTATTTATGTTTACAGAGACTTAAAACCACCAAATTTGTTGTTGGTAATGGGTGGACAAACTCTTAAAATTTGTGATTTTGGTACTGCTTGTGATTTAAATACTTATATGACTAACAACAAAGGTTCTGCTGCTTGGATGGCTCCAGAAGTATTTGAAGGTTCCAGATATACAGAAAAGTGTGATGTATTTAGTTGGGGTGTTATTTTATGGGAAATATTATCAAGGAAAAAACCATTTGATGAAATTGGTGGTTCAGCTTATAGAATAATGTGGGCAGTACATATAGGACAAAGACCTCCTTTAATTGAAGGTTGTCCAAAACCTCTTGAGGATCTTATGACTAGGTATTTATTAATATTTTATTACTTATTTATGCTATTATAGTTAATAATGTTGAAGTAATTTAAGGATATCAAATTCAAGAAATTAAAATTAATTGTATGATATAAATATTTTTGACTAATAAAAAAATTAATTTTTTAAAATATATGCTTTTAAAAAATATATCAAATTTATTGTAATTAAGAAGCTTCTTATAATTAACTGAATATTAACATATAAATTTAATTTTTTGTACTAAATTTTTCTAGAATGTTATATTTATTTGTTTAATTTGTTATTAAATATATTTATAAAATAATAAAATACATGTTGTGAAATGTTAAAATGTTAAAATATATATGTTATAAATTAATAGATTTTTAATTTTAAATTAATTTTTTATAATCTATGTATTCTAATTTATTTATTATAAATATATTTATAAAATTATTATAAAGTTGAATATTCATATTTTTATAAATATTAATTTTATATATTTTTAAAATTAAAAAATGTTCATTTTATCTGATTAATAATTAGTAATTATATTTATAGAGAATTTTCTTTTTGAGACACAAAAATATTTAATATTTTTATTTACCTAATATTTAGAATTATTCAATAATTTTAAATTCATTTAATATTGCTTACATTTTATTTACATATAATATTTTTTATATGCTATGCAATATTTTAATGAAATATTGTAAAATTTAAAAATGAATATATTCCTTTATTATCAGAAATGTTCTATACAAATATTCTTTACTGAAAAATTGATATTATTTAATAATTAATTTTTTAATAATTTTTTTATACATTCACAATATAAATCATAAAAGATTATTACTTTACAGGTTGAAATTTAATATGGTAGTTATATATATAGTGTCTTCAAATATACATATATCTTTGGCTATTCCTTCTCGTTAATAGAAAAGTATTTATTTGAAAGTGTTTAAGTGTGATAATTTGTGTAATGCTTGTTAGTCTTCTTCAATAATCAATGGTCTTGATAGGAGTACAATATTCATACCAATTAAAATTGATTGTTCATCAATTAAAAATTGTTTATTTCATAAATCATCTGTTAAATTATATAAATTGAATAAATAAATTTATGTTTAACTATTTAATATTAAAAAAATAGGAAATATAGGAATAGTTTAATTCATAAATATCTAATCTAATACTAATTGTGGTAGATTATTCATCCTAAAATTTTTAATTTATTATATCTAGATTAAGGAAAATAAATTATACAATAATCAGTTAAAATTTAATAAAGGTATAAGGAAGAAATATAGGATTGTTAGAGGTTATGAGTTTCATATTGATTGTTTGCAATGTTGTTATTTTTTTTAGAATAGGAGGAATTAAAGATGATTGATTGGTGGTTGATCGTTTGGTGTTAGGATAACTTTAATAGTTTCATAATTCTTCATTCTGAGATTGTTCTGTACTTCTAATTAGGGTTTTTCTAAATTTCTTCTTATGAATTTTAGGTTTTGACCTAGGTGAAGATTGGGGCACATAGTTCATCATAAAATTTTCTTTAAAGAAATTAAGGTCTTTTAGCAACTATGGATTCTCCTTTGGGACAACAATCTCTAACAACTCTTTCATCCCCTTCGATGGTTAGGCACTGGGAGCAAATTTTAGTGGTAAGTGAAATTGTCTTCAATGATATTTGTCCATTAAGGTTTCCATTATACCAAGTGGCAAGATTACTTTCCCTTTCGTTTTTCATTTGATCATTCAATATACAAGGAATGATTTGTTTCTCAAATTATTGTTGATGGCAGTTGCAGAGTTTGCAAGATTTTCTTGCAAAAAATTGCTCCCAGTTATTTTCATCATAAATTTTTTGATAGTAGATTGTGGAAGGGAAAGTGTTGAATTTAGGAAAAAAGGTAGGAAAATTGAAAATATTCGAATTTATATTAGCTATAAAATATTGATTTATTCAATAATTACAAGAAAGAAAATTATAATTGTTATATTTGATTTTAATGACAATAAAAAATAGAAAATATATAAAAGAAAATTATATATATAGAAAAAATTTTTAGTATTTTAAGTATTTTCTTTTGAACATTAACCATAATCAAAATGAATTCTAAAAATTTTTTCATTAAAATTTAAAAAAATAAGAAAATTTTTTTAAATTTATTATTATTGTGTATTTTTTCAAAATAGTCAATTTCAAATCAGTCTCAAAACACATATTTAGAAAATAACAATTTTTTTTATCTATTTTTTATTATTCTGCTAAATTATTTTATATATTATTTATATTATATATATATGTGATTTTATTCAACAGGTTTTTCTACGTCTTAAGTATTTTTTTTTAATCATTCTTTTATTTTAACAATTATTTATGTTTTATTTCTATATAATAAAAAGAATTGAATGATTGTTTTAGATGTTGGCATAAATCTCCCGAAGAAAGACCATCAATGGACGAAGTTGTAGAAATAATGACGACTTTATCGCAATTTTTTAGTGAACATTTGGAACCTGTGGAGTATTCCCGAAGTTCGTATAAAAGTATTAAATATAAATGTTATATAATTATTATAAAAAATGATTTTAAATCCAAAGTATAAGCAATTAATAACATATAAAAAATTTTGAAATAAATGAAATATTTATATATTTATATATTTATATTCATGTGTTATAGATATTGAATCAGAGAAAGTTAATGAAAATCATATTTCTAAAGATGATACTTTAGATGTAAACAAAGGAAGTATGGATTCTGAAATAAATGGATATGCTGCCAATGGTACTATTAAAATTAATGTACCTGTTTCCAAAGAAAATTCAGAAATTTTAAATGGAAGAAACAGTTCATCAAATTCCTTCTGCGATTTCAGGGATTTATCTCCTAAAAATAATATTTCATCAAGTATTGTATCCAACAAAAAATTCCAAATCAAAGATTTTCCACAACTTTATGTTGAATGCGATCCGGTCAGTATTTTTAAAATATAATGATTGTTTATATATTGTTCTTTTCTATAAAAAAAAAAATATTTTATTATATATTAAAAATTTTTGATGACATTTTAATTTAATTATAGAATGCTTGGGAATTGCCAAATTCGGACTCTTCATTGGAATCTTCTATTCTGAAGATAAAGAATACTACTCAAAGTAAGTTTATTATTTTTGTAATATATTTAAATTATAAACTCTATTATAATTAATTTTGTTTTTTTTTATGAAAAAAGAATTGTGAAAGAATTGTTTTATAAATATATTACGTGAATGCACGCGCGAAAATAAAGTACGTATTTATAAGTAGATATTATGATTTATATTAATTAAGATTAGGAAAATATAACGAATATATTTTTTTTACTTTTACAATATTTATATTTTTATTTTATTTTGTTAATTAATTTCTTTTTTTTTATCATATGCATATAACAAAATAATTGAAATGCTATTTGTTGATGATCTCGTCGTTATTCTATAACTGCAGAGGGATATTCGCTTAGGCGAAAGCTTTGAATTTGTGACTCATCACGATAGTTCTCTAATCCCAAAATAACATTCTTCCTATGTTCCATAAAATCTTCCTTTTAACGCGGAATGTGATGTGCTTAGATAGACTCATTATCACTGTTTGACAGTCATTATTAAATAATTAACATTTGTATATATATTTTAAATTATTTAATTCATGTAAAGTATATTTTTATTCATATTAAATTTTTAATTAAATGAATATGAATAATGAATAAATATAAAATATAATTTGAACATATAAAATTAATTAAAGTTATTAAATATTAAACATTAAATATTAGATACTAAATATTAGATATTAAATATATTTTTAATTTAGAATGATAACAAAAATTACGATTAAATATATATATATATTAATATTGTATATATTGTATATTGTATATATATTAAAATATATATATAATGTATAATTATATATATATATATATTTATCATGAATTATATATATATATATTTAATCATAACTTTG